GCTTTCCCTTGAGTGAATGTAATTTTATTGCATTATTTCTATCCCTGATGTAGAGATGTTCTCAGTTAGAAATGAAATGCCTCTGTTACTTTGCGTAATAGTAAATTTCATATTTTTTAAGTGTTTTTAACTGAAGGTGAAGAATTATCAATATTGAATGACAATACAGTAAACACATTGTGTTCTGAATGTACAGGTTTTAACAGTAAACTGAAAACCTAAAATATTTTACCATAAAGTGGCATAGCTGTAGTAAAATTAACAAAGTAGATCATAAACATTTTGTTGTCTGTCATCTTCACATATTTACCAAAGTTATCTGCCTTATAATTAACCAATTCTTAATGTTTAACTGAATGAGGCAAAATTCTTTTACCATTTTTTTTTTGGTTTGAAATTCAGATTTAAAAATGCAAATATATTTTATTAGCAGGTTTCTACAAATATATACTAACTGTTACCTAGTGGCCAATCTTGGTCCATTTGATTACCACCAATATTCAAGGGTGTTCATTTATTGCTTAAATGAAAGCGAAAATCAGTTTAAACATATGGATAAGTTTAGCTTTACATTATTGTATATAGTCATGTAATAATCAAATATTTGTGACCAGTTGTTTAGGCTATAATTTAGGGGTCGACTTTTACACGAGTAATTATAGGGGGGTTGAAGTGCATGCTCAGTAAAAGTACACAAATCATGAAACAAAACCCCAATTGATATAAATGGCAATAAACAACAAAAAAGCAATTTAAATTTTTTATTTGCAAAAAGGGTAAACATGAAAACTAACATATTATCTAAATTATAGAATAATCAGTTTTTTCAGATAAACATGTTACATATCTGTTTACTAGTAAAATTAGCACCCTAGTCCATACCAAAGTGTTTAAAAATAAATTTCATGAAGTGAGTTCATAACTATAAATTTTGTTTGAGGAGCTGGATCCCGAATATTCAAGTTGCACAGAGCACCAAGTTACCTAAGGCTGTTACTGTTAATTAGTGGTGACACCAATTAAGATAATCAACCACATTATTGGTTGGTACATCTCTACCTTGAACTATGAACTTAAATGTTGAATGAAAAGCAAAAATTGTTTTTGGAATTAAAAATGTAATACACAAAGTTATAAAAAAAAGTGTGTAAGTTTGTTTTAAGTTAGATACATATGTGAATTGAGAGTATCCATTCAAAGTTAACAAACTGAAAAAAAATTTATTTGTGCATGCACCTGTAATATAACATAAAATACTAATTCATGGCAAATGTGTGGATGTGGAGCAGTAAGGCTGTAATGGAAATGAGTATGAATTGAGGAACCCTTTTCATATGGAGTCCCAGTGCTCTCTCCCAGAAAAATCTATGAAATTAGTACTTTCCAGATGCATTCTGAGAGCACTTTATCATTATTACTAATTCCTGCCTTTTTGCAAATGAACATAATTGTGTTACATTGGTGTGCATTTAGTTCAGGTTTAATGACTGAACTTCCAGCTGTTATTTTACATGGCTTTAACAAGTATAGTGTCTGTTGCACAACTTTCTTAGTTAAACTATTGAAGTTAGCCTTTTGTGCATACACATGGGCATCTGTATGGGAGACAGATGGAAAATGAGAAACATAATTCTTTCTTTATTCATTCAACATATATATATATATGCATTTTTTATTCAATTCACAATTTCACACCACTTTGTCCCTCCCTGGGAAAATTTCTGCAGATGTTCATATGCATTTTCCAGTAGTTTTAAGGCTTTTATTTCCCCTTTTGTTTACTAGTACATAACCTGTCTTCTCTTCATTTGTGAATTCACCTTTACTTTGTAGTACTGCAGAAATTAGACTAGTAACAAAAAATCAAAAAGAAAAACACGAAATATTTGCTCCATCTTTAGTAAAAAGTCACTGATAGTTGTAAGGAATACATTAAAGTTGTAGCTATATATTTATTTAAATATTTTGTTTTGAAAAATCTTGGATGCATATTCTGTAATATACCCTATTTACAGCAGTGACCATTTGGTCCTTTAAGACTATCCTTCCACACCCACCTTTGGGAAAAGTATGAATTTATAACAGTTATTTACTTTTCGGGAAAAAATGATTTTCATATTAAACTCCTGCAAAGTGCTGGTCACAATTACTGATGATGACAACTCATACCATAAGGCAATCACCCTGTTAAAAAATAAAACCATTTTAACTGGAGCAGAGTTTGTCTTTTTCAAATGTTAATTTGTGCCCTGTACTCTACTACCTTCAGAGTATAACTAAAGAGATCAGGGGTATTTATATTATTAGTCCTCTGAATGATCTTGTAAGTTTAAATAGGATCACCGATTACCCATTTTTTCTCAAGAGAAAATAGAAAATAAGTTAAGAGACCTTTATCTATGTACAATAACCCATCTATCTTTGGAATCATCCTTAGATAAGGAGATCAAAACTATAAATTATTCCGATCGAGTGTGACTAATTTTTTATATAGGAGATAATTACCTCTCTTGTCTTATAACCATTATGTCCAAGTTCGCCTCAAACTTTACAACTAGCAACATAGAATTGCTGTGAGGGCTTGAGTGACTTATCCTCCACTATGCCAAGATCATTTTCTTCAATCACACTATTGATTTGGTTCCCAGTTATATAACATTTCCAAGTTATGATAATCCAGTTGTATTACCTTGCACTTACTATAACTAAAGTTAATTTGTCAAATTTTTATCTAACTCACCACTACAATCAAGTCATTTTGTAATGCCTCAGTATCCTCAATACAGCTAGAAATACCCAAGAGTTTGATGTCATCACCAAACTTTATATAAGAAATAAAGGCTCAGGTTCTGATTCCTGAGGTACTCCATTAGTAAAAAGGTATCAGTTTGATTGGACTCCATTAATAACAACCTTTTGCTTTCTCTTATCCAACTACCTTACAATCCAGTCAACTAGACTTTTCCCAACACCTACAGATGTGATTTTATTAGTTAATTTTCTGTGGTGTCTTGTCAAAAGCTTTTTGAAAATCTGAGTACACTAAGTCCACACCCTTTCTTTCATCCAGGTAACAGTTAATATCTTTAGCATCATGAGATATGATCACAGATATAAAAGATATGTCAAAGAGTTAAAGTAGCCTATGAAAAATCTTCCTCCAAATGTTTTTGTGCAAATGACAACATGTGATAATAGAGGAAAAACTTCATCTACTTGATATTGATGCTGTAATATAAAACTAATGCAGCAAAATTTATCATCCAACATAAACCTTTTATTAGAGTGCAATCATATATTATTTCATTGCACTTACATGTCTTGTACTTGAAATATTTTGCTTGGTTTTAGAAATATCTCAGTATTCAACTGCTTTTTTGGCAACTGTGGTTCAAGAAGCAACAATGTGGTTATTGTACTACACCTTTTGGGTGTAAGATTTACTACAGTTAATAATAATAAGTGAAAATATTTACTTTAATGTGTTTTGGTAAAGTGAATGTCTGGTTAAATAAAGCAATAACAGCACACATAGTTGAAGATAACAATTAGTAGTGTCTGTATTTTAAGCATTTTACAACCAACTGTATATATAACTTAACAAGGGTTTTTGTGATATACAATTAAAATATGCAACAAAGTTACCAGGTCATGAAAGATGATTTGTTGGGAAAAAAATGCTATGAACCATCTTCTAAGTAGAATCATACCAATAGTAATGTAGAATATGAGTGATATAGATGGTTATTTCTCAAATTACAAACTAGAAAAGATTTATTTAAAGAAATGACTATGGGGTGTTTAAATGTAGATCATGGTGACCTTTTGAGTTAGTAGGCTTTTTTACTGAGAAGGTGAAGTCTAAAGATTCAAGTGTAATAATGGTAAAGTTATATAGAGAACTGGAATCCTGAATCATGATTAGTATACCAACAGTTTTTATCTTGTTATTATGTATACACTTATGTATAAAAAAAGAATTAAATTTTTATTCACCAATGCTAATTTTATATTAAAATTACTGTTTTGATTATATACTCTATTTTATATCTGTAAATTTGCTCTTATTTTTAAATAAACCAAGGTAAAATGACAACTACCTAGTTTGAAGTGTCATTTGTATAGAAATTCTTAAAGTTCTCTTTCACTACAAGTGTCACTCTGAGCTAGTCAGTTTCTGCCCATTTCACCTTTGTTCATATTCTCTTTGTTTTCTAAACTTTTTTTTTTTTCAGGTACAGTTCTGATTTTTTTTAATTTGTTCTAAATATTTTCACATACCTTATTAATATCAGAAATGATGGAATTGAGTATTTTGAGACATTGTATGGCAGTCGTAAACATGTTTTTTTCTCTCTCCTAAACACCATTTTTTCTTCATCATGTAATTAGTTAATGTACATATTATATTTGGTTAATCATAAGAACAGTGAGTCCCATTTTATCATTGCTTTGGGATAATTTTTAATCATCCATCCCTACCCTTTCCAAACATTATGTAGCTTGTGGTTCAAATAATCTTATGTTCATTAGTTTATCAATAAACTGCTTGTAATATGTTGCTGATTGACAATTATAGATAAACTGTTATTAAACAGTTATTATTTCTCCAAACCTTTACATTTTTCGTTTGAAAGTTTATTATTGCACCATGTCATTTGTGATACTATTAAACTAAAGTAGTCAGATTGGTGTTTTCATATGTTACAATGACAAACACTTGCAAAGTAAACTGGAAGTTCCTACAAAAAATACAAGTGTCTTTTGAAGTAGTGCAATTAGTAGTATGAGAGGAAAAATTGTATAATTTTTTGGTAATGTAATATTTTTAAATATGAATTATCTTTGTTTTATTAATACCAGAAATCTTTGTTACAAATAGTTGCCTTTATTTCTTAATTACACAATCTTTAAATATTAGAGTTTGGTTAACTTTCGTAATATTTCTATAATATATTTGTTTTTAATTTCTAAATTTTAACTTCATTTTCTGTGAATAGGAAAAAGTAAGCGTATGAAGGGGAAAACCCTAGATTTGAATTCTTTTCTTGGCGATGAGAATACACCTTCAGGATTTGCTGTAGTTAATGCTAAGAAGTTAGACTGGGCTGAAGCAGTGGAAGGTGACAGTGGCGATGGTGAGTTTAAGTATTTTTGCATTGATAAATTTATATTTTTTAATAAAACAAAAGTGAAAACAGGTGACAACCTCTCAAAGTATTCTGTCTTCAGATCAAAATAAAAACTTGTTGCACTACATTTATAATTGATATTATTTCTGATCAAAGCAAGTCACTTACATAGACCAGATTTAAAAAATCAAACCAATAAAGAAAATAGCTAATTAAATATACTGTCATGTTTTTACTTGCAATGATTAGAATGCAATATTTCCTTAATTGGGTACCCTCACTGTTAGTCACATTTGTACCTTAATCCCATTAATATGTCATGAGTAATGAAGCTATCATAGAACTAACTACAGTGAGTGTACAGTCCATCTAGATCCAACAAAACAACATAGTCTATTAAACAGGTCTCCTTGCTATTGGCTCTTCTCTTTCTCCAGTCCTAGTAGATATTTAATTAGAAGACACTACTCAACTCTACATAAAAGCAGTTCAGTTTTTACAGATGAAATGGTTCACCTGGCTGCACTAGCAGGAACATCTTTTGTAAATATCTAAACTCTATAGGCCATAAAATTCAAATCATTATGGAAGTAAGAAATAACAAAACGCTACCATTCATGGACATTCTCATCATCAAAAGTGACAATAAATTGGCAACTATGGTATACAGAAAACTGTCTCATATAGACTGATACTAGCACTTGAGAAATAATTAATGTGTTTTAATAACAGACAGCCCATGCATACGACAGTACTCTTTCTATATTAGAGTAAGTAGGCTGCATTTTTTTTCACATGCAGAAATAAGCTGGTCACAAAGTCAAGCAATTTTTGTGAAACTGTGCTCAGAAATTTCTCACTACTGTCTAATATTTGCCATGTTGAAATGAAAGAGTACATATTTGAGAAAGATCTTTCATTTTCATAACTAGGAGAAAAATTAACAGTTTTCTAAGAGAGTTTGTTTTTTGTTGTTGTTGGTTTTTTTGGGGGGGTCTAATATTTTGCCATGGCTGCTTCTTCAGAGGCTCACTTTATTGTAACTGCACCATGAGAAGAAAATTAGCATTTATGTCAAAGCACTTTAAGGGTGGTAGTTGAGGGAGTCATCATCTTGCTCTGTTGGAACTTTCATGCATTCAAAACAAACTTTATTATCTGGATCATGTAGTGAAACAAGCCTATTAAGCCACAAGTAATTTATACAGCAGCCATTAGTTAGCACATCTGAAGTTTTGTATCATACTGAGTTATTACATAAAATAGTTACACTGAGTAGGGCCAGCTAGCTTGTTGAAGCTGATTAGGAGGCTTAACCTCTTATGAAATTGCTACCAGAAGTACAAGTTACTGCATTTCCCTGACCTTGATTAAGATTCAAAAGATACTACAGTAAAGGTTGACCATGTAGCAATGGATGTCACCCAATATTTCTGAAATGGGCAGTTAGCATTTGTGGACACAGTATTATCTCTAAATCCAAAATTTTCTTTGTTCAAAAGTTTTATGATATCTAAAACCAAATAATCCTAAAGCCTGCTGTTTCACAGTTGGGCTCATTGTAGTAGATCCTAGATGGATTATCATCAAAGTTTTCCAACCAAATACTGTTAATTAAGTGATGTCATGTTTGCTTTGGTTTAAGTACATTTCATCATATGAGAGAAGCTAAAAGTATTCTTTATGCTCTATTGATGGTTAAGAGAAATGAGAAAAGATGGCTTACCAAAGACATCCATCTTGTAAATCTGGCTGTACCTAAGCATTTGTGAATATAAAAAAAAAGCTGGAGTATAGTGTTTGTAGTCCTTAATTGTTACTTGAATCAAGATATAGTATTTTAATATGAGCCATCCTGGCTTCAAAATCATGTTGTCAACAAAGTCCAAAAATGGAAAATGCAGTCTTTGACTTTCATTACATAAACTTATTTGTCATTTTCAAATATCTGAATCATTTCATACAGCAAATAGAATTGAAAGTAATAGATCCTGTTGGTATTTCAAAGAAACCACATCAACTGGATAAGAAATAATATGGTCATAGTAGAGGGTTATTTTGAATTTTGTGGAAGAGTATAGCTCATTAATTATCTGTTGTCACTGTGTGAAGCCTGAGATATACCTGTATAAAATGAAGAGCCAAATTATTTATGTACAGTTTTGTTGCAAGCAATCAATTAAAAGGAAAGTGGACACTTGTAACCAAATACCAGAGTAGATGTGTAGTATACTGATAAGAGATAGAGCAGCATGGCAGGTTAGTTTGAGTTGTAAATATACATGGAATATACTTATGGTGCATATGGTGAGGTTGTGGGAGTTGGTTATCAGTTGTCTTTATGAGTACGAGTCTGTATAATCATGCAAATCTAATTATTAATTTGTTTGTGTTTTTTTTTTTAGTCATTAGATAATAATTAGTTTATATCCTATATTTCGGCTACTCGTTCAGATTAGCATAGAAATCAGCAAAATCTGAATCCACCTTGAGATTCAAGTTCTAATGGGAAAGACCTTTGGATGAATGTATAGCACACCAGCCTCTCTGATAAAAACTCCTCCTCAGGATATCCCTGAAGACCGCAACAGATGAGCTGTTGAAATGAAGGATATAAACTAATTGATTAGACTTTAATGATCATGCACGCTAATAAACATGACAACATATGGAAGAATTTGAAAACAAATCTTTTGGAGTAAGTCAGTTACAGTATAATCTTGAAACTTCTATAAAATCATTGAGTAATTGCAAACTCAGGTTTGATTCTTATACAAAGAAAATCTTTTTTTCCTTGCATATGATACACAGAATTATAATTTTATATGCATTTTGCAATATTTTTGAGTATTTGTTAGCAAATATTGAACAGAATAGTATAAAATGGTCTTTGTACACATATATCACATTTATTGGTAAAAGGTCAAGATCAATGATGAAAGATAATTTAGTTTTATCTCTTTATTTTTTTCTAATGCATTAGAGAGATTTCCAATAAATTACAAGAGAGATGAGAAAATTGTCCTTCCAACTGCACCCAAAGCTGCTCGGGGACCTGACATTGATCCTTCTCAACTCCCTACCCAGCCTCCTTATACTGTATACTTGGGAAATCTCCCATATGATATAAATGAAGATGACATCATGCATTTTTTTAGAAATCTTAAGGTAGGAATATGAAGTCACTTTCTACAGAAACCTCAAATTTGTATTAAAAAAGGGTAGACTATACCATAAGAAAAACAAAGAAAAATTATTGAAACAACATTTTTTCTAATTTTTAATATAGGTAACCTTTGTTACTGTCAAAAACATATACATGGAATGTAGTAAAATTATCATATAAAGTTAGATATTAAATTATCCCAAAATAAGTGAATTGGAGATACTTGAATGGTATTTAAGATGAGTTATCAATCGTAAAGAAATTGCTGGTTCAAGATTTATTAATTACATTGATTTTTATTTATCACAGAATACAATCTTAATTTTTAATCTCATTTTGTAAGCATTCATTGGTTGCTGTTAATAGATCACCTTTTATAAATAGTAAACTTATCCATTCTGTTAGATATCTGACCAAAACTCTATTTTATCTCTTAAAATAAGTTATGTCATTAGAATATATTGTGAAAAATTTATTACAAAAGCTACTGACATATCACAAAGAGGTCTGAATTATGCTTTCAAGGCCTTGAACTTCAGTATTTTAGGGGCAAGTCAAAAGTGCTTTGCAATTTTTGGTAATCACAGCCACTGACAATATTTTGTGGGGTACCAATGTTACACATTAAATCTGGTCAGGGTACTTAAAAGTATTTTGCCTTTGTGCCCTGTCTTCAGCAGTATAATGTTGGTGGTTCAACTTCACATAGAACTTTATATATCGTAAAGCATCTGTATGGTGCTCTGTTTATGTTCTTAACTCTCCATTTTTATGAATCCACTAAGCATCAATTAGCAGCTGTTTAGAAAATCAGTGACATGTTACACCATCGACAACATACACTGGTCTAGAGAATAAATACAATGAATAACAACTTAAAAAAATATTCCATCAAAGCTAGTTGCATGTTGTTCTTGTTTTATCTTCCATACTACACACTCCACTATTACATTTAAAATCCAGTAGCATGCACATACATTTCATATTTCTACATCTCGTTTCTATGAATAACATGATTTGATAAGTTCAAATTGTCAATCACATGAACTTTGTAATTCATAAACTATAATTATTTCAAAGAACAACTGAACTGAAACAAACAGCCCATGAACAAACACATAGTGTTGGTTAATTACAGAGTTAGAGTGTTGTTCTCATCTGAAGATTCATCAAGGGTCACTACTTTTGTTGGTGTGAGTTCTGGAGGTATGAGAAGTTGCTGCCCTGTCATTGAACATGATCTGTAGGGGCTTGGTGTCTGGTTGCCTTGAACACTAGCAGTTTGTACTCCACTTGGCCACTGTAGGTCTGGGGTCAAACTTACCAGGCTCTGGACCTTCAGAGCAAAGCCTGAGCAAATCCCCAAACTCCAAGGATTTGTTTGATGGTCAGAACTGCCTTTCATCTTTGCTATTGCAACAAGACAAACCAACATATGTCTCACCAGGAAAGAACATTTAGGCATCAGTTAGTTAGTTTTCTCCATCAAATTCTTCTTCCATAGAGATTAGAAAGGGACTCTATGATTCTAGAGATAAAGCTTCATCCTAGTTCATTCCAATTCTGTGGTTCTAGGTCATATGTCAGGAGTTGGCTGAAATGTATGTCATTGTACTAATTTCTTCATTGCCATAGCTGGAAAGATTGTTTGGGTTGGTAGATTTGCTGGTTCAAAAAGATTTGCACCCAAAAGAATCTTGTCTGTGAAGGAATTGAACCATCCTTCAACACTCTCTAGAATACTCTGAATGATGAACTTACTTTATCTATCAACAATACCTTCTGTCTTGTAACCAGCTCCTAGTTGTATTCATCAGTATTCAGTCCCATCATTATGGGAAACAAGTTGCTTCACCTCCCTCACTTGTATTCCAGGATTTTCAAGCTTACTCCTGAGGACCAGAAAAAGAGCTTCAATATTGCAATTCACTGCAAATGGACAATGCAGCATGGTTGTCTATGAGGTCCTGGTACAATGCTACATAAAATACAACTTTTACAACTTGAGGGTCAATAATTGTACCTTCATCTTGGTCAGATAGGGTGATAATATATATCTGTTTGTGAAAGTGGATGAAAAGGTAGCTGCAGTTTCATTCTAGAGTTAATTTTTTTTCTTTTGTGAGGATATATTTAGTGTAACTCTTTGATCTTAGTAGGCATATATGTATAATGAAATATGTCACAGCTTATCTCACTGAAAATATCTCCTTTCTTACATTGATAATTTTAAATTACCCAGTATAACATATTTACAAAGGAACTAGTTTTTGATACACTACAAGCAAAATTTACTGATTATGGCTTAATTGATGCATACTTGGTGATTAGGATCGTAACTTTATGCCTCGTGGGTTGTAATTAAACTTTATGTTGTTTACCTGTATTCTTATGAACTTTCCTTAATGATAAAGCAAAGAAATATTAGATAGCAAAATAAACATGTATTATATTTGTTTCACTATTGAACATTGCTTGTTTAAAGTTTATTTGAAATTGTATATATAAATAATAAAAAGCAATGAAATAAAATGTTGCTTCCAGTTGTGAAAATTGTTTGTGTGTGCATAAACACATTTCTTGGAATATTAAATAAACATTTCTAATTGTGTATAAATTTTTATGTTTGTGTGATACAAATTTTAAACTTTTTTAGTTACTTCGCTGTAGAACTTTTTCTGAACTTAAATGAAAATAAATAATTAAAATATTCATTAAAAATGTAGCTGCAGCTGAGAACTTCACAAACCTTTTCTCTGTGTAATGAATTTTTAATATATCTATTATGACTTGTGTATATGATATGCAATTTTCTTATATTTATAACTACATAATGTCCCATATACTTCGGCATTATGTTTTAAATGTTAATTCTTATAGCTATGTTTTGCCATTTGTAATTGAAGGTTAGGGTATTTTTAAGAATGTGAGAACAAAAACTGCCTTTAATAACTTAGAGAAAGTATTCTTAAATTTGTATGTTTTTTTAATACCTGTAGTGTTTTGCTTGCAGTAAGCAGTTCTGAATATCTGTGCATCAGCATATAGTACAGTTTAGTTGCTTTGTCATATGCATTGTATGTGTAACTAACTTTTCAGTAGAATATAACTGGTGACAAAAAAATTGAGTGGTTTTGAACTCATAGTAAGAATACATAGTTGGTCCACTTTACTTAAGCTCAGAATACTTTATCTGCTTGAAGGCCTGAACTTTGTTTAATATCAAGCTTTAATGTATTATTTCCAGGAACACTTTATTGGATAAATTAAGTTTAATTTTTATTGTTCTCAAATAATAAAAATATAGTAATAGTATAATAAATAGGCCTCATTTTGTTATATTCATAGTACTTCAGTAAGGAAATAGTATTTATAATTTTTTTCTTATTGTTTAGCCATACATGTGCAATGTATTTTAATCTGCTGTGAAAATTATGTTTTACAAATTTTGAAAGAGAATAAGGAGTTGAATTTTTTTTTTTTCTGTTTTTACATGCTTCATAATTATTTTTCTAATTGATACTTGAAACATTTTTGGAACTACTAGATTTTATATTGTGGATTTAGGTCACTTCGGTACGTCTTCCTCGTGAAGGTGGTGATCGAGGCAGAATACGAGGGTTTGGCTATGCCGAGTTTACTAACAGAGAAGCTCTAATTGAAGCATTGGCACTGAATAATGAGGTATTTTTTTACTTTGAGAGCAGAGAAATATGTTTGGTAAAAGAGTTGATTTTCAAGGGAATGTTTTAATTTGATATGTGGGTAAGATTTCAAGTGTTTTAAGTTGCAGAGTAAGTACTAAATACCAAACTAGTTATGAGAGGATTGAAAATATGTACATAATAAACTTAATGGAATGGAACATGATTTGATTAGTACTTGGCAGCTTACACATTCATGGGTAGCACAACATAAATTTGTCATCCAAAATTTAAGGTAAATATTCTATATTCCAAAACAATTTTATTTATTTAAAGATAACCCACTTAAAATTTACCCTGCATGCTGGGTGGGGGTCAAATTGCATTCTTTTTAAGAAGTGCCATTCAACACGGTATCATGTATTTGATGTCAGGGCTATCAACCATTTATTTTACCCTACATTGCTAATTTAGTGGTAGTTTGTGGTAGAGACAGTAAATACCAGATAAATTATATGGATATACTGTTTGTTTGTTTTTTGTTGTTGTTGTTAAGCACGAAGCTACAACATTGGCTATCTATGCTGTGCCCACCACAAGTATTACCTTCAGACTTGCGGTTGAGTCACTGAGGGCAGATGGATGCATAAACTGTAGATATGCATTTTGGAGGTCCTAGAGAAGGGCTCGCAAACTTTTTGAGAGCATGTGCCCAAATTGTTGATAATGTTCGGGAATTTTTTTCGCATGCTCGTAGAAATTTTGAGTAGCAAAAATTTCTGTTATTATTAATAATAAAAGCATATCTTGAGTACAAATATTTCTTGTGGCACATCTGATTTTTTGTGTACACCTTACTAACAGCTTGCCACATTTTGTGTAGATACACCTAGTAAATTTCGAATTATAGTCAATATTTCTTCTCCATTGTGTGGTCCATCCACTGGACAGACCCCTTATATGTTTAGTTAATGGAGTTATGTACCATTCAAGTTGTATCTGCATGAATTATGCCTGCAAAGAAAAATCCACAGTAATCAGCTTTATCTCTAATTATAATAGTATGAATAATGAAGTAAATTATTCTGGCAGATTAAAAAGAAAGTAACCATTATTACTGTTTCTAGCATCACACAGTTTGTATTATCATAATATCAACTGGCATAAAATAGAGTAAACCTTAATGCTTGTATGTTGATTAAACTTATCTTGCATATTGAAAGCTTTTGGCAACCAAGGACATTGTTTCTTGTATGAAGAAAGATAGTGACAAACTTATGATATAATAAATAACAGCTTTAAAGTTAGTAGGCTATGCCTAGGTTAATTACAGTTGAAGTGTTTTAGCAGTTTGAAAAAGTGTGTTAACGACAATAATCAATATTTGGTTGTATTTTTCTAATATTTATGATTAACAAATTATATTCTATTTTAGGTTAATCTATTGCAAATTAAATTTTAAAATGCTCTAATTATGATTAAATCAGTCTGTTTTTAGTTTGCTATACAAAACTCTAATTTTCTTGATAATTAGGAGATCAGGTTGTTTAATCTGTTTGTACAACTAAGTATGAAACTAAATTAACCAAGATCTTAAAATATTCATAAAATGACAACACCTAATGATTAACGTAGTCTAGTGTTTTCCAATACCACATTGATACACAGCTAAGCAGTGTATTCTAATCCATAATAAGTGGACCTGGTATAAGTTTTGAAAAGTAAACAAAACATTTTAGAATAAAAACTTGGATATTTTGTCTTTGTTTTTCAGAACTTGAAAAATAGATCTATACGAGTGAGTTTAGCAGCAGAACATGGTAAGTTCAAGAGCAGTATTTACTAAAATAAGTTAAAGTTTTATTAATTACTTTTGAATTAGATTTTATTTTAAATGTTTTTTTTGATGAAGTATAAGTAATCCATGCATTTTTGGATTTTAAAAAAAGTTTGAAATAACACCTGACAAATATCTTTTATTTAATTGTGCAGAAATATTATCTCTGTCATTTTACCTTCAATATTTATTTTGAGAAGAAGTTTTATTAATTAGAGATAAAACTTTTAGGATAAACCAAAAGCAAGTGTTTTATGTTAATTATGGTGTTAAAGAAAACTATGTATATATTGTACTGATTCTTTAAAGTTTGACTTGCAGAGTTTTAATGTGCAAATATAAATTTTTGAACAACTCTGTGAAGCTATAAATAATAATGTTTACTATAATTCTTAATTTATTACACCTATCTTCACGAAATTTGGCAAAATTATTATTAAAGATTAAAAGGCCCTTTAAAGTATTTCTACTAAAGATTTGTCTGGGAATTTTTGAAGCATTTACTGCATCAGTGAGTCTGAGTGAAAGGTAATTTTCATGTCAAATAAATTAACATTACGGTTACCATATATTACACATGTATATATAATTACTATTTCCTTATAAGTGCTGAAATTTTAGTTATTTTTTTGTTTAAAAATAACACTAAATAAAAAATACACAAAAAGCAATTATTTCTATATCTTACCATCTTTATGTACTCAAGAGCCTAAGGATCATGCAGTGGTAAGCCTTACAAATTAGGTTCCACAAAGTATTTTGTGTAGATGTCAGTTATGCATTTTAGTATACACAAGATATATCGGTAGCTAGAAAAGAATATTTCAAAAACTACTATAATTTATCCAGCTTTCAAAGCAAGTAAGGAACTATTTTACCTCTGTTAAGAGCAGTAAATCACAGTGGAAGCCTACAGTAAGAATTAGCTGTGACCTGTATACTTTGATTTGAATCATGTACAAAGTACATGATCTTGTAGTCACAACTAACATTAGCCTACTTTTTTTCTTTTCAAATTTTATTGTTCAAAAACTAATGCATGTAGCTTTCAAGTATGCATTTTAGAACATAAAAATTATACTATATACTAGAACAGAATGTTTCAAAACAACTGTAATTTACCTTGCTTTCTGAGTACACTTTAAATATGTTTCAAAAATTTCATTAGTGCTCAGATGAATGACTTTACTCAACGTAAATCAAACACTTTTCTCATCTACTGTCTTTACCCACAAAATTATAATAGTAGTTGTAAGCTTCATACAGAGGAGAATTGCTCTTTCTATTGGTTGTAAACATCTCCATCAACCATTTACATGTGATTAGATATAAAGCTTGAAATCCAGAGAGAGACAGGAGGGGCTTCTCTGATAGGTTTTGATAAATTTACTGATATTTCAGCAAATCAAGAAGATAGGAGATTGAAATTTTATAATTTTATTTGTACTTATGTATAGTTTGTTCTTCTAATTTGTATAAATTGAAATTGTATAAAAAGTTATATTGATGTTTGAAGTGGAGATTTTATTGTGCAATGCATCATATGACACTATGTTTTGATGGCAATTTAATAAGTTATTAAAATATCATAGTTAGTGATCATGGGTTACTGATCTCAACACAAAACAATAGCTTCTTTTATTTTTTCCTGTATAAGCCAGTATAACTTTCAATTCAGTGAAAGTGTGCATAGAGGTTAACTTGGTGATTTATTGCCAAAAGAAAAAAATATTTGTAAACAACTTCCACCACAACTGCATTCTTGATATTGTTTTAAAACTTTGCAAAAAATGTGCTTTTTGTTTTACTTAAATTATAATGTTACAGTATGAAAAGAAAAGAAAAATTTCTGCAACAAGATGAGTTGTCTTAATTAGATCATTTTGTATTTGACTTTATTACGTGTCTTTTGCCAACAACGCCCTGTTTATTAGTTCATGCTAACATGCTTGAATGAGCAAAGAAAATTACCCCCAAAAATTTTAAATATATATATAAATTAATGTAAAATTGGTTTAACACTTATTATATTAAATGAAAGTTTTAATAAAGTCGGCTTGTTTATAATTTTGATATGATAAAAAAGTTATTTTCATTGCATGTAAACACTGAATTTTTTCTTCCGAATCAAAACAAAGATAAAATTTACAGTTTAATAAATTAAAAACTTTTATGAAGTTTTACATATATGTAAGAGGACAATCAGTAAATGAAAAATTACAACAAAGGTAAGCATTTATAGCTCTTTCTTTAAAAAAAAAGATTATTACAATGAAATATTTTTTTTTAGTTTTTAAAGCAACAAATTACTAAAAATATCACATATAAAAATAAGATATTTTCTAGGAGCTGCATAATATTTAGAAAGTTAGTCCCAAGATTTGAAGAATTTCATCCAGTAGTTTTTGTTTTGCCTTTTTGAATGGAATAAAGCAAACCATGGATTAGGTGTGACACTTCTTGGCATTTAAAGAGTTGAAGTGGCATTGAAAATCAGAACGGCAACTATGAAATTTTTTTTCCCAGTGAAATTATTTTAAGGGTTTAGACTCTGTTGAATATTTGGTTAAATAATATTGCTTGTTTTCTGGAGTAGGATTTATAGATAATGTGAAATTAAGGGAGAAAAACTTGTATTACAACCTGTTTGAGTTATCATAGAAAATTACTTATACATTAACCCATTAACTGCAGCAGGAGCAGCTCATTTGCCATTTCCTGACTCACAGATAAAACTGAGTTGCCATCAATCACAATAAAACGGTCATGTTCGTCATTTGCATAGAGTTATAGTTATGTATGTGCGACTGGCGGAAACATCCTGTCTGAAATGAACATTTATAATTTTGTGGAGAATCAACATATAGAAAAACTAGTATAAGGAAGTACCCTTTCGAGTACATATTATTGAACTAAGCTTCAAATTTATTGTTTTTATGTATTTTATTTATTACAATGTATTTTTAACAAGAAATAACTAAAAGGTAAGAAGTTGAAAATTATGAGATTAGATAACAAAAAGTATATGAAAAAAATATTTCATGAGACCAGCTCAAACTAACTGTGTCATGTGATTGTAACTTTATCAGTTGTTTTTGATAAGTTCTTCTGCTGTGCTTAATTGTCTATTACATACTTACATATGGTTTAAAGGGCATTGTAAATTAAAAGGAAGCAGATATGATAAGGTTATTCAACAGAAGTTGTTATAATAAATAATTGTCTGTTAAAATTGCAGTTATTCTAGGAGAAGGTAATATTGATTTTATTTTGTATTTCCAAAACAAATACTGACCTCTAGAATAACTTTTTTCTTCTTTAATTCATGCAGTGTTTTTCCTCTCTTCATTTATATTTTGCTACAGTTATAGTAGAGTAGAGAAAAATAAGAAATAATATATAAAGTTTACCAAAAAAAATCTTATCATTTTCACATAGAAAGTTCTATAGGATATGCAAATGAAATAAAAGAGACTAAGTATTTTTATTTGTATCATCAAAGTCACCTTTCTCTCAAACTGTCTCAGTAAAGGCTTTGTAAATTCACTGACAAGTTTTTTAGTAGGAATACTTCATTAACAATTTGGTTTTTTGTATACAACAAATGTACAATGTTTACTAAAAGCTTGTCAAATTTTGTGACGATAAATTTAGTAAATTTGGAATGACAGTAAACATTACTCTGTGTAGCTTCACAGAAATGGTATTGACAGTGTTAAAAGTTGAACTTAGTTATATAAAATTAGGAGCAAAAAAAAATTTGTAAAATATCCATTGTTTGAGAGCTCCATACTGAAAATAAATTTTCTTTATCAGGCTAAAAACATAATGCATTTCATATTTTTCAATGAATGAAACATCTTGCTGTTATAACCCATTTTTACTCATGAAGTATACCAGATAACTCATCTTGATATTCCAAACCTTACAAATATCTTAAAATCAAATAAATTATCTTTTTCTCACTCTCTCTGTATATATAATGCATCTTTATATATTCTTAAATAATCAGTCAGTCATTTATATATGCATCAAATCATAATTTAAGGAGGAGACAATGATCGAGAAAGGCGTGATGACAGAGTTGACAGAACAGCGGGTGATTGGAGAGCAGCTCCTCGTAATGACCCATCTGGAGATGATCGCTACAGAAATAGCTCGTGTAAGTTTTGCCTTGGTTTCAATTTGAAGACCCACTAATTCAGAAATAATATATGTAAACGTTTCATAGACTATCACCTGTTATATTTTGCTCATTTTTCCCTTGCAGATATTCCATATTAAATGTTAATACTAGAAGTGAGTATGTAATACATTATTGCTGAATAAAATATTAAGATTATCTGCAAGACAAGAGAACGTACTTTCCATGAACTTGAATTGTCACATTGTTTACACTTATCTTCTGTGACCTGATATTTTTTTGGTGTGCATTTTTTTCTAGTGAATAAAGGTTTATTTTAAGAACTGCTTTAATTTAAGAAGTTTTGTAAATCAACATGTATATAATTAAACTGGTAAGCTTCCTCATGAAACTCAGTTTTTGAAGCATTTAAGCATACTTTTGAAATATAGATATATATTATGGCTAAATATAATAAAGTAATATTTATAAATATGCTCAGTAATTATAGTCTATGTGGTGTTTAGAACTGTTTGTTAATACTCTCTACAGTAGACATAATAATAATAGTGAAAGATATGTTTCCTATCACAAGATTATTATTGATATTACGTATATAATATTTTAAAGAGAATTGACTATTATGGAAAGCATCTTTTATCACATGTGCTTTAATCTTATTGAGGTAAAATTTATCATGTAATACTACTTAAAAAGTGTGTTTAATATAGATTCCAAGGATTATGAAAGAGGAGATCATGGCTTTGATAACAGAGAACTTTATCGTGGAAGAGGGAGTTATGATAGAGATAGAGATGGTGGTCCTAGGAAGGATCAATATAGCAGTGACAGAGATTATGATAAAGATCGACGGTATGATCGGCCACCCCGAGATAAGCCTGGTGACAGATGGGATTCGTATGACAGAGGTAAATAGGTTGAAATTTATCAACCTCGGAAAATCAAAACTAGTTTGAACTTTATAAGTTTATGAATCATAGCATATAAAACTTATGTCTGTATTAGTACTCTTAGAAATATAGATCCACTAAGTGGGGTTTTATTATCTTCATCAATAGATAAATATTTTTTGTAATTGTCTTTTAGAAAACATGCTTAACTTCTCTTCTATATGGCTATCATTCTTTAATTGACAACAAACAATTATGTAGCTACAGTATTGTTTCTTGATGACTGTTTGCAATAACTTAAGCATTTGACACCTTGTGTGGTTTAAACACTAAGCACAACAGGGTGAAAGCTGAATAGTGTGAATCACTTATAAATGATTTTCCCCATCTACCAGAACTAACTTCATGTGTGTGTAATCATTATTCAAGCAGTGTTCTCTTTACAAACTTATGGGGATAAAAAAAGCAATGCATCTGAAGCTTCTGAGTTTTGGGTATTTTCAATTTTAAAAGAAATCATGAATCAAAGTAGTGGTTCATAATTGGGATCTTCCATTTGTTCTTCTTTTTATTATTATTCTGCCTGCCTACAGCAAAAACAAGTATGAGGATTATAATCAAACATGGCAGTACGGTTAACGCTTAGCACGGGCTCGGCCCCAGGGACTGACCTCGTAACCATTTTGTGCTTGTTATAGTTTTCATGCTATAACTTTTAAATAAGTAAACATGTCTTCATGGAATTTTGCATATTATCAGTAAACACTACAAGGTTTTCATACACAAAATATCAGATTTTTTGTTAAGTTTAAGATTTTTTACTTAATGTTTTTGTTACATCTTTTTCCTTTTCAATATTGACTATCCAACATGCAAAGTAATTTCTATTTTAAGATTAAAAATAATTTTATGCATTAGAAAACTTTTAAATTTCACGTTCAAAATCTTTATAACCTCCAGATAATTATCAAACATTTTTAAAGAAAAACTTTATATTATATCAGTTATTTTCACTATTGTATCTTTGTACGGGTTCAATCGATTTGACCAACCTCATAACCACGTTAAATAATTAAGAAATAAATATAAATTATGTTTTGTTGTTCCAGATATTTGATCGGCCTGCAGGGTTTCTACAATACCATAACATAAACATTTTATAATAGTTTAGACAGTTGTCATTGAAACCATTATATTGTCAGCATGTTAAATCCTACCCACTGTGTTTTCAAAGCAGGGAAGTTCTGGGAATTGTGCAGCATGAGCTTATTTTATATTTACAGTGTCAAACTAAGTAAAGAGCAGCGATTCATTGCTTTATATTCAGCAGGTTTCTACTTCAGCCACTAACAGTAGATAAACATAGGAAATAGGTGTGAAAAGATTAGAAGAAACTCTCAAGAATTTTGCTTTGGAACTTAGTGATACATACTGATAAAAGACAGACAGTACTATTCATTTTGTTTTGTCTAGTTTCTAAGTCGGCTCCTAACAAAATTACTACAGAAAACAAGTCTGAAAGGGAAGAAGTATAAACTCTATGAAACTTTGCGATCAATATAACAATACTATACATTTTATTTTGCACATTGCAACCTCTATTATAATGTTACAATAGGGGAAATAACAGATATACTATATATATTTTTAATGAAAAGGGTGTTTGATATTTAATTACAAGGTTATTTTTCATTTGTTTTATTCATTTATTTGTTATTATAAAAGTAAATAAAATCATAAAAACAGAAACTTGTTAGGTAATATAATGAAATAAAAATAATAATCTTCATAGGGTATACTAGCGAGCAGCTTGTGCATTATGCTTTTCGATAAGGTTACGTGAGTTGCACGTGCAGCATGTAATTTTCAACTTGTGTCGGGGTATTTCTAGTCAGACACGGTTCAAAGGTCAATAAAACAAAAAATTCATAAATATAAATAGATATATACTGTTACGATAAGTAAGCTATTTAGAATAAATATTTGTCACAACTTGCAGTCATTTTAGAACAAATGAAAGGTCATTTAAATGTATTTCCAACTTTTTATGGTGGTTATGAGGTTGGTCAAATCAACTAACACCATATAAGGTCAAGATTGATAAAGTAACAGATAAAACATAAAGTTTTATTCAAAAAACGTTTGATGGTTATTTAGGAGGATATAGAAATTACTTTGCATGTTGGATAGTGAACATTCTGAAGGAAAGATTTCACAAGATCTTTAATTAAAGCTGTTTGCTACAATTATATGTGGTGGAGTCAAAATAGGGATTTGCAGTTTGAGTAAGTAATGTCTACAGTATCTCCAATAGGGTTGTTTACTACCCCTATTTGTAGGTTTTTAAATTCCCGATTTTTTTATTTATCCTGTGTCTCAAACCTTAAGCTTGTTTGTTTACTTTATTTTTGTGACTGCACTTTCACTTTAAGCTAGCTATCTTGTTGTTTTTTCTTTTTTTTGCGAACGCTATTCCCATTTTTTTAGTTAACAACTTTTAATAATCTTGTATATATATATATTAGGAGAAAGATGGACTGAATAATAACTACCTATTTTTTCAACTCCAGTTAAATTTATTGAAAATGCAAGTTCAAAGGCAATCAAGCAAAGATAATGAAAAATAAAGCTGTTTACCATTTTGAGTACAGTGTCTAATTAAGGTTTTTTTGTATTTTTTTACAAGTAGTAAATAAGAGCAAAGCATAAACTTTTGCAAAATTATTAATGCATTATAACCATAAATAGCTATATAGTAGAGATGGCTGATACAGGAATTAAAAACTTTAATTTAAAATACAAAGACTTGAAAAAATGAATTTTATTGGTCACTTTCTGTGGGGATGATAGTAATAATAGGTATAAGATTGTAGGGGGCATTGTATATATTTAATTTTATTATACAAGGTAGTTAACAGTGTAATATCATATGTGTACACATTTAATTAAAAAATTAATATAGGTAAAAAAGTGTTCCTTGGTGCTGGTTCAATGTGGGTTTGAGTTATTGTATTAGAAGTGCTTCTTTAATTTTTCATTTGTTTACATTTGTTTCTCTGTTTAATATGTTAGTGTTTTCTATAGTTGTAATATGTTTATTTGAGTTACTGTGTTCAAATATGTTCATATATTTGCATTTCTTGATCAAACAAATAATTTGTACTTGAAAACAGTGTTTCATTTGAACCAATTACACTATATATTGGCTATTTCATAATTGCTTTATCAAATTATCAACTGTGGACAGGAATTGTCCAAGAAATTTGGGGTTTAATGACTGCTTTTACCTGTATGTGTAGTGGAACAGTGTTTCAGCCTCTATATTGAGGCATGCCAAGATGATTAGGGTGCTTGACTCGCAATCTGCGGATTTAAATCCACATCCCATCTCACATTATAATGTTCACCCTTTCGACCGTGGGAGCGTTATAGTGTGATAGACAATCCCACAGTTTGGTAGTAAAAGAGTAGCTCAAGAGTTGACAGAGGGAGGTGATAACTAGCTGCTCTCCCTCTGGTCTTTCGCTGCTAAATTGGGCATGGCTATTATACATAGCCCTTGTGTAGCTTATCACGAACTTCCAAACAAGCCAAATTATACTGAGTTGTTAACTGTGTAGTGTTGTATTGTTGGTTAATGCAATCCTCTAATGGGAAGAGTTCCTTAAGAAGACCTGTCCAAACCGATTATTTCTTTATGAACAGTATAATTTATTACAGGTAACATAAGTAGATTTTTATTGAAGAATTGCTTATATATAATTAGGAAAGTACACTGGGCAGTGTCAGAAGGAATATGAGGTACAATGATTTTCTATCTGGTCATTTAATTATTTTTTTTTTCACCCATTGAATTTGTGTTGTTTATTTTAGTTTGACCTATTGAATTCATTTTATATACCTCTTTACGCTGCTTTTTCTTTTCTTATATTTTGGGTTATTTCTTATTTACAGGAAACATGAGACTTGCATGTGAGAGTCCCGGGGGGGGTCCTCACTGTATACAGTTTACTGGAAGTGTAGTGCTCCAGATGGTAGCATAGGCTTTTGATAAGTAACAGCATATTATTTGATGTGATTAAGAAATTATCATTCAATTAATGGTGCAAGAGGAACATTACAATAAATCTGCATAAATAAATCAATCTCCCCTTTTGCCTGAATTTGGCCAGCTTAGATAAATTCTGATCATTCCACTGTTTTCTACAATAGGGTCTTAATGAATTTGTGTGAGGTTCCTAGCAAGCAAAAATAGTGGTGGGCAAGCATGTTCAGAAACTTTTGCCTGCCATGTTAGGTAGGTAGCATGCCAACTGTAATCAGCCATTAATGTCAAGTGTTAGACTGCTATTGGTCAATCTGCAGGCATGACAAAATACATTGGTATACATATTTTTGTAGGGCATAGGGTGTAATTTGAGCTTTTGGATGATCACAACTGATAGTATGCAAATGGACAATGACTGCTGCTCAATACCTCACAATTCTTAAGCAAGACTTTCTATTGACAATGCCAGTGACCAGCTTACCAAACATGTTAGTGATTTCATGTAAGATGGAGGCTTCTGCTTATTCAGTACAAATCACAGAAGTGTGTCATTAAAAGGCCAGGCCAACTGAACCCTATTAAGCATGTTCTAGGGATACTGTTATCCATTTCATCACCAGGGGGTGAGGTACAATTCAGCAGACATAGATATCAGATCTTATAAATATGATGCAGAACTGTATTTCTTTCTTAAATATTGCATAGGACAGATCCACTGAATACTAATGTTAATTTTGTAATTCTTTGTTTTGTGTTGTTTTTTTTTTTAATTAAATGACATTGTTCTAGTATTTACTTAATGGTAAGCTGCATACATAGAAATACACATACTGTAATGATACTAATTGTATCAATATATATAATCACACGTGTTTACAGATTGTATGAATGTTATTTGTAAGCTTTGGCAATATATATGATTATTGTAATATTAAACAAACACTGACAAATATTTAGAATATAATATACTTATATATTTATATCAATTTATCCAGACTTTAAATAATGTTACAGCAAGGGGTATGTAGGTAGACAGTTAGATTGTAATGACACTATGTCTGAATTGTATTTATTACAAATTTATCTTACACTTTACACAGTTTCTCTGATTTTTCAATTAAACTACAGTACCATGAATTGATAGTTAAATTTCATTAGACATTGATTTATTAAAAACAATGTATTGCAAGTACAATTCTAAAAAACACATTTGGTTCCTATTAATATATCACCTTAAGTGATAAGTTACTTATACAAAAATAACTGAAAAAATATCATGTTATAGCAGATGATAACGTTTTCCTACTCAATTCATGCAGCACACAGTGATATATATATAAGAATTTGTGGAATAGTGCCTTTGTATCTCTGAAACAAATTCAGTAAAGTAGGAAGATGTTTAGTTAATCAATACCTGTAAAGCATTTATATGTCTTTCAAGGTTTTTATGGCTTACTCTCAAACAACTGCCCAAGAAATTTTCTTAGTACCATATAAAGGTGCGTGTCAGTGAAAAAGCAAGCATGCATAATGTTGTGCTTATTAACTGTATGATCACATTGACAGCTTTTATCATTTCAACAAAAGTTCTACTCTGAATAGCAATAAAATTCTATGGCACATTAGAAGTATTAAATTCTTATTATCACTAATGTAAAAAATTGGTTATAACTCTTAATCAGGATATGATCGAGGTGGTCGTGGAGGTCGAAGAGATTTTGGCAGTGGTTTTCGAGATAGCTATGATAGGCGACGTGATGATTATGGCTCTAGGGATAACTATGAGAAACGTAGAGATGACTATGGCTCAAGAGATGGATATGATAGGCGGCGTGAGGATTATGGTTCAAAGGATAGTTATAACAGACAGCGAGATGATTATGGTTATAGGGAAGGCTCTGATAAGTATAGAGATGACTATGGTCCTAGAGATAGTTATGAGAAACGCAGAGATGACTCGGATAGAAGAGATGACAGAGATGAAAAAGGTAGGTCATTTTTCCCATTAATTTGTTGTATAATTTACTAATTTTGTAAGACTGTGATATTGTAGATATATTTATAGATAAATTTCATATTATCTGTTTTTCTTTGGACTTTTTTAATTATTAGATGATAAAATAGAAATATTTTATTAAATCACTGATCTTGCATGTTATCACCACCTCTGAGATTATAGAGTTTTCAGAATCTCAGAAAGTGATAGATTTTATATGTTTTTTAGGCCTTGAAACATCAAGGATTTTATAAGAATAACAAAAAGTACAAGAAAATTGAATTAAATGATATATTTAATTTTGTGAGTTAATTTGGTTAGTAAAAAAGTTAAAAGTTTGATCATTTTGTATCATTTCCTTTTGTATGCTGAATAGTACTGTTTTCAAATGTGGAAATAGGCTGTGTAAATTAACTATAGACTATTCCATTGATGCACTTAGTGATGATTATAATGAGAATTATTAAGAACCATACATGATCTGTAGTGTAAGCCAGTCTTACTTGGAAGTCTTATAACTCAAGTATCAGTCCAAATTAGCATAACTGTAAAGTTGTCATACTGAGGTTTTTTAAGGAGTTATAGTTTTTAGGACAAAGTTAATGTAAACTACTATTATGTTTCTGATTGAAAAAAACTTCTTACAGACTGAAACAATTTTTATGGTAATGTTTTTGCATTTATATCTGTAAACTGTCTTCCTAACCAAGCTATCATGTGGAAGATTAAATGGTGTTTACCAGTAATTGAAATATAAATTATTTATAGTTTAGGTCTTTTGCAAGTACATATACTGCATGTTTTTATATCTGCCATTGCACATATTTCGATGTATTCATCATATTTTTACCCGGTTTAGGTCTACAATAAGAAATGCTTGTAACATTGTGTTGGACATCAATTTAAAAAATTTACATTTGCTTGTAGAGTTTTACAAATGTGTTTATTCAATTGTTTTATTTTTTGTAGTATTTGTATTTCCTCTAAAGTTATCTGTTATAACTGTTTTCATATGGTATGTCTCATAAAGTCAGAAGAGATAAACTTGTTTTCTTAGTCATATAAATGTTTACATTATATAACATTTAGTGTTAATGTTTGGAACATGTAATATAATTTTCATTTAATCAACATTTCTAAGTTTTATACACAAATTACATTTGCATTCATAAAAAAACTAGAATATTTAGTTGTGGTAAGTGTGGCACATATACATCTAGTATTTGACAGACGTATATGTGTAAAATGCATATAATTATTTACCAATGGTGCTTACAGCAGTTTTTGAAACTTAAATAATCCAAGGTTTTTTGATGAATGAACAAAGTGTAGTACACAAATTAGAATAAAATGTGTATATGATTTCTTTGTTTTCTTTAGAAATATTTTTTATCTGTGTTATTTGTACTTGTTAAATTTGAACTTTTGGGATATTTTTCCTTGTTATGTTATAAATACAAGATAATGATAATGATCTCTGTTATTTAGGTACTTATGAATAGTTTAATATTTTTTATTGTGACATCTACCTGAAGTCCCATCTAATGTAAAATATATATATAAAATGTGTCAGGACAGCTGAAAAGTTATATTTCAACTTAGAGGCCAACTATTTCTTGGCAACTTGGAAGATTTTATAGCAACAGCAGAAGGAAATACTAGTTGATACTGGTAGCACAGTACTATCATATGATCAAGCACTTAACAAATTGTGGTTGTCTGCCCAACAACCGTAGACCAGGCTTTCACACTCAAACAAATATTTGAGGGGGGGATACAGATTGTCAATAAGTTTGCAATCTAATTCATTACAGTTAGCAAATTTTGCTGTAAATGAATGATATTTTTTTTTCTTATTAAAACAGCTCCATGTTTTCTTCATATTCTACTTCTCAGTATTTTTTTACTTTTGTCAATAACTGATAAAGTAACTGTAAAACATTTGCTAGTGGCCAGAAAAGCTAGTATTAAGCCTTCTACACATTTAGCTTTGGGCACGTCATAAAATTGACAGTCAGTCTCATTATTTAATTCATAGAGCCACACAGAGCTCTCAGGGTGATGTATGCTGCTGGTTGATTGTCCTCCCCCCTTATTAGTAATTCAAAATTACGGAAGGATATACCTGAATGTAAGGGTCTTTGACGTGGCCATGTAGCTCACTTGTGCATAAAATACCATTTTGATTGAAAATCGAATTTTATTTTATTTTCTAACATTGTAATGACCTTTTTATTTATACAAAAATGTCAGTCTTTCCTGAGGATTTTGGGAGAGAAACATTGTTTATGTTTCTGTGCTGTTCAAGATAAACATTTTTAGATTATTTTTTTTTTTAGATGTATTAAATTTTTGTTACAGAAATTCCCAAAGAACGGCCTAAATTAAACCTGAAACCACGAACTAAACCATTAGAAAATGTGGATTCAAAAGTGTCTGGTACTTCATCGGTTAGTATTTTTGGAGGTGCTAAACCTGTGGACACTGCTACAAAAGAAAGAGAAATTGAAGAACGTTTAGCTAGGGAGAAGGAAATTCAAGAAAATCAACGGTATGTATATCGGTTCTTTTATAAAATTTAACAAACAAAAAAGAAGATAAAAGAGTTTAGATAATAGGGTTTTCAGCATTAGGTAAAACAGCTGTAAAAACAACAGTCATTTTTTTGGGGTCTCTGTTTACTGCAGTGGATTAAACACATAAATTCAGTTTTTTGGTTAACATCTTTGGTTTTATGGTTTTGTAACTCCTGTAAGAAGTAAATTGAATAAGCTTGATGGTTAGGCCTTCTAAATGTTATCCAAAAAGTCAGTTTTCATAAACATAATTCAGGTCAAGTATGTATTTACAATTTTTTGTCTTGCATAACGTAAGACTTTTCTATCCATTGTTTTTGAATTGGAACTTTTAAGGTGGTGGTGGTGGTGTCTATATATATATATATATACAAATGCACTTTACTGTTTTGTAACTTTGTTACCACTAAGTTCTGAGAGCAAAAAAAAATTAGGTGTAAACTTATTTACAAGAAAAATAATCTACTAATCATAGAATATTAAATATTATTATGAAAATCAAGTTGACTATAGATCTTTTTCTTCCATGTTCTTGAATTATCCATTACAGCTCAAAATCAGGGGTGTGTAAAAATAGCACTCGAGATGTATCTTTTGTCACTACCAAAGATGCTTTTCATACAACACCAGAACTCACCAGTCTCTCATCATCCAACCCACTTGATGGGTTCTTGTATTGAAGGAAAGGCCTCTTGGGAAACAAAATATGGATATGAAATGCTATTTTTACACAAGTAATTTCAATGTTGCTTTACACAAAACCATTGTATTTGGTCAACCTACTGGCTTCCAGCCAGAATAAAGTTGGGTTCTATATCTGATTTCAAAGATTTATTAACATAAGCTTACAACTAAATGTTTTAATTTCACTTTGAAATTTAGCAGTTGTATACATTTGTTAGTTTTGTTTCTTACAATATTAAAAGAGACTTTATTTCTTTTCTACAACTTACAGTTCATATTAACCAAATGACTGAGTTTTATTAGAATAAATGGAAAGAAATAAGATCTAAGCTACATTTTTCCCCTGTGTTGTATTTATTTTCTCTAGTGGAAGATTGAAAAAAGATGATCCACGTGCATCACGATCTTCGAGGTCTTCCTCCCGACAGGTAACAGTATTAAATTCTTAAAATCAAAAAGTATGTTAACTTCTAATAATTCACAGCCTGTTTCGTGACTCTCTCTATCTCTCTCTTAGTGAAGCTTCTGGCAAGGTAGTTATTCACAGGGTAGGTCACAAGAGTACAACCTTATGTGATCATAAATTTATATACTCTTCTGCTACATTAATAGTATCTGTACATCACCGTTAGGGAAGCTGGTGTCAGTTTCATCATATACACATATTTACTCAAAATATAAATGATTTTTCATGCTATAACTTTTAAATTAGTAAGCGTGTGTTAATGAAATTTGGTATTTTATCAGTAAACTACAATACTTTCATACTCCATATATCAAATTTTTTTATTATACCTTAAGATTTGTAAAGCAATGTTTTTCTCATTCCTTTTTTTTCTTTTTGTATGTTGCTTATCCAACATGCAAAGTAATTTTCATTTTAAGATTAATAATACTTTTGTGCATCAAAAAATTTTCAAATTTCACATGCAAAAATCTTTATAATGTCCAGATAGTTATGAAACACTTCTTAAAAAAAAATTATATTTTATCTGTTATTTTCAGTAACGAAATCTCTGTATGGGTTTTGTGAATTTGACTGATCTCGTAACCATGTTAAAAAAAATAGGAAATAAATATAAATTATGCCTTTTTTGTTCTAAAATGAGTACAAATTATAACACAAAAACATAAATGTTTAGACTAAATAGCTTAAATCTCATAACATTGTACATTTATATATATTTATTATTTTTATTATATTTACCTTACAGCCATACCAGGCTAACAATGCAGAAGTTACAATGACGTGGTGCACGTTCACTCATGTTACCATATCCAATAATATAAAACTGACCTTTAGTCGTTACAGAGTGACCTGTCTTGGTTGTGTTTTAGTAGACTAGTATTTCATAAAATACAGTCACATTTCAATTATAATACATTATATATGTATATAGATTATTGCTATTTAGAAATAAGTTCTTAAACTTATTTTTCTTAAAACATAGAACACTAAATATAGAAATAAAACAATTATCTCTTCTAGTTATGACCTTTGTACTTGGTTGCTGCTTGAAGTAGGTTGCTAAGCCTTTTAAAATTTTGCGTGTGGAGGATATGAAATAATATAATTTTTTTTAGGTTTTATACATATAGTTGAATTACCAAAAAATCATAAATTACTGCATCAATACTATAGAATTCCACTATAATTTATCAAGCTTAGTAACTAAGCTGTATTTCAGTCTAAACAAATATAAAATTTTGAGTAGACTAAAGACACAACCTACATCCTTGAACTTATGGTTTGAAAGAAATAGATGTCATCCAAACACGTTAAAATGGCTGAGAAAGCCACTAGAGGGGCATTCTAAGCTTCCAATTGGTTGTTCATGTCATATATAGAAGTAAGTGTATATAATGGAGCTTTTCCAAAAATGGAAAGAGGTGGGTGGGATGCCACTGTGTTTGATTTATTACTTGAGCAATATCTTAGCAAATTGAAAAGATAAGAGGTTCTTATTTTATATTGTAGCTTATAAATATCAGTAATTTTAGTTCCTAATTCGTACAAAACTATAGAATTAGTATTTTTATATCACAAACATCTAATTTGAACCAGTGCTGCATTCAGCATACCACGTGACACACAAAAATCAATGTTTAACTGTGTTTTTTAATATTTACTTTTAAGTTAAGAAATTGAGTAAGGTATAATACTAAAATTTGAATTATAATCTACAGTTTGCTACCAAACTTATTGACATAAATTCATGAAATAGTAGTTCAATAATAAATGCAATGACATGGCCTTTCAACCATGACCCATCTGGAAAGGGTTAATGCAACTAAGCAATAGCAGGAAATAAAAATATAAATAATAAACACAACCATGATCATAAGAAAATTAGAACTGCTGCACTTTCCTTTTTATTTGCTATATTTTTGCACCAGCAATACCCAAGTGTATGGCACCCATATACCCAATTCGATTTTTATTACTCATCAGGATCTTTACCAGCCTACTCTCAAATTAAAATTATTTTAGGCAAAATTAGAATAAGTTAATATGTGAGACCCTAGGTGTGGTCAAATACATCAGTCGAAAGGGTTTGACTGCCAGAGTCCAAAACTGTAATTAGATCTCAAATCGGTCAAGAAGTGATGGATCTATGAGCTAAAAGTTTGTACTTGAAAAACTTAGAGCCATGCTATCAGCTGCTAGGCCACAGCTAAAAAGTAACTAATTGAAAATTTACATATTTCCTTTTTTTTTATCTATAAAAATAATTTCAACAAGCTTTATTTCTTCTCATGTGATAGTGTTGAAGGAATAAAAGAAAATGTAGTGGTTGCATGAATTGCTCCTAACAAAAAAGCTCCATGAAAGAAGTTTCATTGTTTCAGCAGTGGTTTAAGTAAAGTTTATGTAAAATATCTCAGTTTACAGTTTTTGTTACACTTATATTACTAAGTTATTGAAAGGAATTTGTAATTTTTACAATACAATTTTTTTTAAATATAGACTTTTTTTTGTGATAATTTATCCTATCCATATAATTTAACAGTACATTTTATTTTTGGGTTTTGAGTTACAGTAGAAACTGGTATTGGATGAAGTAAGTTTAGAACATTTCCCTTGAATTACTGAGAAGTAAAATACACACGGCTATCAAAAACCTGAAAAATCAGGGAAATAATTATTCCCATATTACAGAACATGTAATATGGAATAAAAATATATTAGATGAAATCATTGGAAAATATTCTGCACATAGTGTAATTATTACTTTTAGAGGTAAGTTCATCCTGAAAATCCAAATATTCTGCAATGTACAATTTTAGTTATGACAGTACTAGTAATGGGTTTGTCACCCTGTAACAATAACAAAAATACATATGTATATATAGAGAGTAAGAGAGTGTATTTGCACTCATTTTATACTGTTTTGTACTATCATACAAATTTTATGTTGTTTCATCACAATTTTTGTTCCAAAAAAAGAAAAAAGAAAGTGATGGAAGCCATGGTGGCATTTTATAGACTTATGTGTATGTTTTTTGACTGGTTATTATGAATATGAAATGTTACTTTTTATATTTATCAGTAGTACTTCAATCCTGAAATACAGATTTAGCAAAAAAGAAAAAATTTATAATTTTAAAAACTGAATTTCTTCAACTAAGTTTAGAAACCTCTGAACTACATAAGTTAGGGATGAAACTTTTCCACAATTTGACAGATTCATGCAGTTTCTATTATCAAATTCTCCATCTATATGGTAAATTATGATGAGAAAAATATTGGAGGGTTGCTAGTGCTTGAGATTAAATACTAATACAAGTATGCTTAATCTGAGATTTTGTCTGCTTTAATGTTTACAATAAACCCAAAATCAATGTGTGAAGCTCCTTTTTTGAAGCTGAAAGTTTCCAGGCTCCTCGGAAATGCCAAAACTCTTTAAAGTGCGACAGCAGACAATCAAAAAGGCTCATCATAGAGATAGACTTTAAATCTTTTGTCATCTGATGATCACATTAAGTAGGCATACAACAAAATTATTGAACTTGTTTTCATTGGTTAAGGACATTTTGTTGGAAATGAAAATATATATTACAGATATATTAAATGTCAGAAATTCAGAAGTTATTTTCAGTCACATAGGTTATCCTGTCATTTTGCATTGAACCAAAGAATGATCACCTATTACATTATAGAATTTATAAATCTCATGAAGTATTACAACCATTTTAATATTTATGTTTTTTCATATATTTTAAATCAAAAAGCTTGCTACTAAAACATCTAAAAAGTTGTTTATTTCAGTTTATACTTAAATGAAAGTTTCATAAAAAAACAAGAAAAATTAAACTAATTTTTGTATCGTACTGATCTAATGCATTATCTGCCATTATTAGTTAAAATATAAATGTTTCATGAAATGAGCAGTTTATATAATAATTGGTCTGTAATTTTGATCATTTAAATGTGAGTTAAAATGGCAAAACTATTGTTTATTAATACTCTTATCAGTAAATAAGGTGAATATTTAGTGTCCTGAAATGGCTTGGAATGGACCAGCCAAAAGTTGCATGTGCTGTTCTCATCCCTGATAATCACCTACCTGGAAATCTTAAAAGTGTAGAGTTGCATGTTGTTACTCAGTTCTTTTTTGTTAAGCTCAAGAAGTCATCAGTGTTTTATTTTCTTTAAGTGTCTTACTTTTTTGTTATTTTGCAGGAAGATGAACGAGAAAGTTATCAGAGTAGAGAGTCACAAGAGGTTAGAAAAGGTAGAAAAGGCATTTCTTAATTTTTTAAGTTATATGTAGTTTATATGATTGATCCAGAGAGCATATTGTCTTCAAGTAAAGCCTGAGAACCTGAGTTATAAAGTTTTGTTGTACATGGTATAATATTGCAAAAAATTTCAATTTGTCTGATTTCATCAAGAATTGAATATGTAATTACATTACAATTAATAGTATAATCACAAATATTTTGTGTATACTATAAATTTTTAAGTTATTATGGAATTCAATGCTTTTTTAAGCAGTGTAAAGAAATGTTGTTGAGTGCAGTGTTTTATTCATGATGACACTGAATCCAGATGAGTACTTTTGCATAATTATATGCAGTTTTTAAAAATGATTTTAATTTTCAAGTTAAAAGTTTATTTCTAGTGTGCTTTAATAAAATTTGGTTTACATTTCGACTCAGGTGAACATCAGAAACACACTGAAGCCCAACATGGAGACACTGATTCAAGAAGTTATAGAGATAGACGGCAGACTAAAGATGATAACATAGGAAGACCTCCTCGTCCTCCTGTGAAATATGAAGCATCAAGTCCAGTATGTGTTTATAATATTTAAATTACAAACTTTGGTGTAGGTAATAATAATAAACATGCAAAATACTTTATAAATGTTATAGTAAATCTCAAAAAAAAATATTGGTTTTTATCATAAAGTAAAAAAAAAAACTATTACCTTGTTTTAGAAAAGTAGAATATTATCTTGTGGCATAACCAGTTCATTTCTACATTGGTAATTGACTTTTATTCAACTCAAACTGAGTGAGTCACGAGATTGGAACCCACCACCAAACCTGCTCATCGTTTCAGCCATGGGGGCATTATGATGTTATGCCAATCCCACTATTTTTGTTGGTAAAGTGTTGGCATTAGGTGGTGTTAACTAGTTGTTTTCTCTCTTGTCTGTCTTTTCAAAATTAGGGTTGACTAATGTGGATATTCCTCGAGTAGCTTTGCATAAATTTACCTAACCAACCAGGGTTGTATGTCATATCATCAAATACTTATTGATTTTTATACAGTAAAAATAATATAAATGTAGCCTTTGCAACAGAAACATATTTTCAGTCAGCTTGAAAGAAACCATTGCACTTAGATATCTTCTTTCTTTTTTTTTTTCAGTAGTTATAATTCTTACATATCTGAAGAGCTAATACATATTTCAGGTTATTTTTTTTTATTTTTCATACTTGGTTCTTTTTAATTTTTTTAGTTTCAAAATTATTACCGGGATTTTGTCAGAAAATAAGATGGTAATCAAACATTTAAAATAATTTATTTTGGGGCATTCATTAATTCGATATGGACAGGTGAGCTCTTTTCAGGGGTTAAATGTGCACCTGCATATCAGATTTCAACTGAATTAAAAATAATAATTTTTACTCTTATATCAACAATTTTTAACTGAAAAATATTTTGTCATTTTATAACATTTAATTAGTGTAATTCACAAAGAACAATATAAAAAATGTTTCAATTTTCATTCCTGCACAGATTCGAGGAATTTCATCTGTAAACCATATTTATAAATGTTTTTAGAAATTTTCTGCCCAACATAAAGTATAGATTTATATTTGATAAGAAACTATCATTGGTTGACAATATAATTATACATGTCTTGTTTCTCTTGTGATTTTCCTCCTCTTTATTACTACAGAATGGCTTTATTACTACAGCCATTCATTCACTCCTTTTTATGATGTCACAGCATGTGGTATGTTTAGTTACTAGTGGCTCACAACTTTAAAAATAGCTACAGATAATAGTTAAATATGATTGGATTGAGCAAATTATAAACTGTTTACATCAAGGTAGTGCAAAATAAAATGGTGAGAGAAGTAAATAATGGTCTTTAAGGAAAGTGTCTAGCTGGACTACTGTATAGGTGAACAAAGGAATTTGGTATATTTTGTTTTTTCTTTAGACATTCTTTTCCTGAAATGAATTTCGTAATATTCAAACAATACACAAATCAATGAACTTATTTATTGAAAATAAATTGGTGTTGACTAGGAATGTTGTGAGAAAATATCAAGATAAGTAGCCTGGCAAAGGTAATAGTGACACCATTTTAAAGGTCAAATCCTAGGTCACTGAAAAATATTTTATAGTGTTTGCCATGTTTTTGTTTTTAAAATATATAGCTTGAAGTGGTGACTAGTGCAGATGGAAGAATAAAGTATCAAAATACGTTAATGAATAAGAACCAAGTTTAAAATCACTGTATCTATAAAATGTGTAACTTGCTCATCAAAAATTAAATTTCTAAAGAGAAAGGAAGTATCTTTTTTTGTTTTGTTTTCAAAACAATTACATCAAAATTTTGGAAAGCTGACAACCTAATAATTGACAGAAATGTTAACTAAAATTATATTAATGTTAATAAGCTGAAACTAAATGCTGTATAAGAAGTTTATACTTAGTTTTCTGCAATTTCATTAAGTATTTTCATGGTGAGTAGAAAATATCAAGGGATATCTTTGATCTGGAAAGGGTTGTTGATAGTCTTCAGTCAGTTGGAATATTATGTGGAATTTTAAAACTGATAGACTGAATTTCTACTAAAGATATGAACACCTAAAGGAAGAATAGTTGTAATATTCTGTTCCCTTGCAGGTTCTTCATTCTTCTAAGCATTAAAACTTTTTTGTGATAAATAGTGGGTTATTCAGTGTACTTTTGCATATGTGACTAATATGATGTATATATTGTAAATTTTAAAGAAGTTTTGTTGTGAATGATATCATTATAATTCAGTGGCCAATATTAAATGGAAAGGTATTTTTCTGCAATTTATACAGTCTGTAAAAATAGTTGAGAGGTAGAAAAAAGTCAGCTGAGACTTCGAGTGTGATTGACTTTGTTTCACCATTTTAATGATTTAAGATTTTGTACAATTTAACATATAAAAGTATGTTAAGACTTCCTTGGTATATTAGCTCAGGAATGACATTTCTATAGTTTGTTTACTTTTATCACTTAAAAGCAGTTATACTGAAATTTTTCTTGACTAACCTTAATGAGGCATAATTTCCATTACAAATGTGCCAGGAACCAACTTCTGCTTAAAAATCCTTGAAAAAAAATCCAGTTATGAGTTGCATTTTTAATTCATTTGTACATTATTTTATCAAATTTATTGTGACAGCACACCCCAAGAAAAGTGTTGTGTTTCATCCCTCATGTCTACTTTTTATAGAGTTTAGGCCCACTTTTAACATGAATTATAGACTTTAATCAGTTATTAACAGCTGGTGGAATATTCTGACATTCCTTTTACAAAGCACTTCAAGCAGTACAGTTGCAGAGCAGTCTAATTACATTAGTCAGGTGTGTGAGTTGTAGGAAGAAAATATTGAATTTAATTTGTCTCAACCACAAAGAGTTTAGCTTTTCATGGTTCTTTTTCATGCCAAAAGAAATATGGTCCTTCCCCATTAAATTTTACCAATGTACACAGTATAGCATTGTTCCACTGATCTTCATGGGTGAAATGATACAGTCATATCCAAAACATAACTTGAATTGCCATCAAATTTAGACCTGTCCATCTGAAACAGTCACTTGCAAGATTAATTGTACTTCATAGTGGTTTTTTTGCTGTTCTTTAACCCAGTTTAGATGCTTAAGTCACCATAATAGTTGACTTCATGCCTTGACATCTTTGGTATTAAGATGGATTGTGAAATGCAGCCATACAAAATTCAGCATCATGATTCTTGTGATCACTGGACTTAGCCCGAAAATTCATTAGAGCCCTGTATAACAGTTTCATTTAATAAAACAGCTTTCAGTGTTAAAATGGTGAAAGTGTCACCTTCTTAATGGCCCTGTAAAAATATGTGCATTAAAAGATTTTAATGAAAAGTTCTTTTAAAGGTTTTACCAACAAGGTCTCATGTTAATATTGGAACTTATCAAAAACTTATAAATATTGTGTTTACCAAAACTGCAATTCTTATAACTCACCCAGCCTTCAGTGACTAAAATGTTATCAGAGTTACCATCAACAAAACGTTTACATAGAAGGTTTATTTGTATATCATTTTCATATTGAATGTACATGTAATGTAACACCCATCTTTATTTGTAAACTTAAAAGCTCTTTAATTTTTTTTTGTAGCGACTTTCCTCTAAACTGTATTTACCCATCTTTTTATTCTCTACAGATTTATCCTATTACAAACAAGTTTTCTCAGCTAATGAATGAAGAGGATGTTGATGATCAAGGAAGTACATCAGACTAAGGCATTTTATGAGATTGAAAGAGACTGAACTGATGTGTTTAGAAAATTAAAATAGAAAATGCTGGTTTCCATAACCTGAGTTTATAGATCTAAAGATATTATTTTTGAAAACAAGAAAAGACCTGGAGGTTTTTGACTTTCATATTTCTCCTCTTACCTAACCAGTGCATAAACTTCTCACAACTTGTGTAGTTTTATGAGATAATGCAGCAGTTGCCTTCATTTTGACATTTTGGAAGTATGTTTTACTGCAACCTCAGTAATGTTTTTTTTTTTTAATAGGGTTGATAAATTGCAAGCATTGGGTGATTTTACATTTTCAATTATTCATTCTTCTTTTTTTTATGTGCAGTTGTCATATTAGAAGGAGTTGTTATTTAGTTAAATATGTAATCATATATATATGGGAAATCTATACCCAAATAAAGTTGTAAAGAATGTAAATGATGGAATTGCAATTGTACTGTGTAAAAATTAAGCCTTTAATCACAGGTAATTGCTACTGAAATTATATTTTGTTATATCTGATGTTCAGGGTGTTTCAGTAATGTAATGGAGCATGTACTGGTTTTCTTTCTTTGGTGCAAGTAGTGTTTTCAGTAAAATACTTTAATAATCAACCTCGACTGAATTTGAATTAGTGATTCATAATTGGCAACAATTTATTTCTTCTGTTGATGTATTTGCCTCTCAATCTTACAATGTTTATCAAGAAGTAACTAATGCATGTTGTGAGCATGCTTATGGACATGATGTAAAATAATTATAAAGATCTATAGTAAAGTTGGACACATGCAAGTTTTATATCCTAGTTTTATTACATTTGCACACAATAACCAAATTCAGCTTTATATCCCTTATGAGCAACATTAAAAAGTAAACGTTAATTGTGTTTCTCAGTATAACTAGCAGATAAGAAGACTTAAAAATCTAATGGGGCCATTGAATGAATATTTTAGAGAAGTGATATAATTACATCAAGGACCTTGAAATTCAGAAGGAAAACTTTGATGTGGTTTTTCAACTATTAACTACATGAGTTTGTAGCATGTTACAGTGCTTTTTTAATTTATCTTTTATCTTCTAGAATTTCTTCACTATTATGTTCCCAGAGAGCATGTTTATGTTTGTATTATTACAACATCGTTTTCTTTCATAGAAATGTATTTAACAGGAAGTGAAAAACAAATGCACACCTAGTTCAGAAGAGAAGAAAATTTTTTTAGCATGATATTTAAAAAAAAGTGATAAACATTCAAACTGTTGATACAAAGTATAAGTTTAAACATAGGGCTTTTTAGGTTCTTGATTTTTACAAGAATGTTAAAGTGAACATAATTTGTTTAATATTTATCCTCAGGCTTCCTTTTACGTTTTATTTACTAAAGCAACTTCTATTATTTGTATCTGTGTGGAAATACTTATCATGTAAACAATATGTACCAACATTCTTTTTTTTTTTTTTTTTGGACGTGGATTCCTCTTAAAGAACATGGTGTCTTTGAACCAAATCACCATGAGTAAAACTTTGAATCAAGGAATATCATCAAACATGGAAAATAATTATCTAAAAGAAGCACTTTTAGGATTATACTGAAGTATAATACTACCACCAGCACAAAGAGTTACAAAATGTATTATCCCTACAAGAATGTGTTAAAGTGAACATCCGGTCATCTGGGCATTGGTAGAACATTTGTTTAATATTTATCCTTAGGCTTCCTTTTAAGTTTCATTTACTAAAGCAAATTATTCTAGTTAATACACAGTACTAGTAACATAACACAAGGAAAGTTGAACTGTTGCTCATAAATTATTACATTAAAAAAGAATAAATAAAAGTTTCAAACGAACTAACTCTAAAGGCAAACCTTTGGAATATTGTATAAATGCGTCAAGGAAATTTCAGAAGATGTAATTTTTTCTAAAATTGCACATTGAAAATTCCAAAGTCTATAAAATACTTCCACAATCTTAAAAGTATAATACAGGGACTGTATGAGGATGTAATCTAGTAACAGTAAATTAGAACGGAATTTTAGAGATCGCAAGATTCTCATGGGAAAAAGAATAGAAAAACATTTAAGTTCACAATAAATAAATGCATATCTGAATATTTATAACTGTCAGTCAAAACATTTTCATCTATTGTATATATTCTTGTTGTTGCATGTCAAATTGTATTCTACAAGCTTATAAAAGTAATGATAAACTGCATTCTCTAGAAATAAAACTCGGAATCGCCAGTCTTTGGGGAGTATTGTGGAAACTTCACTTACGAGACCCACTAAATTCACACGCTAATGTAGAAAATGATTTAATCACATATTCAGTCAACGGAAATATTTATTTTATGTAAAAAGTGTCGAAAATTACCACACCAATTTAAAAAGCTGATGTAATAAATTAAACTAATAAAAAATTCCTATATATATATTGCAAACTATATCAACAGGAACCCAAAACCAGATGCTTCCAGACATAGAAATGCGTAATGATGAAAAAGACGCAAATGTATCGTACGCTTCTACTTATGACGTCAGTGAGTTTTCTGTAACTTGTGTGAATAAATGACTGATAAGAAGCGTTTTGTGTGTATGTTAATATGAAACTCTTCTACAAATTATTTTCTTGGTGTTAAGATTGTTGTTAGTAAACATTATATTATTGTAAGTACCAATTGAAGATCTTCCCGAGTTAATTTGTGCACCAAGAATACAATGACGTAAAAACTCCGTCTATGCTACACTTGTAGATTTACACTAATCACATTTCCAGTAGCAGAAACTTCTTGTAAGTAATAAATGTAATTTTTTTGCATCTTAACAGTTTTCAAATGAAAAACATTCATTGTTACTACTCGTTTTTAAAATCTAAACATAATGGTTATAAAAAGATTTCAATCATTGAGTTGAATCTCCAAACCTAATTCATATACTTGGAGGTTGTCGTTTTTTAGGTTTATTTCAAGCTTCTTTGTGTATTTGGGTTGTTATTTTAACTTATTCTAAACTATGCAAAATATAGTTTATTGCATATCAAAAAGTAAAGAATTCTAACCACTAAATTATCCCTTTTTTTATGGTGAAATACTAAGGGTTTTTTTTGAGCTTGAGTAAACTGACATGAATGTTTTTGACGATATATGACCAATAGGATTAATGTGTACGCCTACAAATGGAACTAAATTTTGAACGTTTATAGTCACGCATATTATATTCCAAATTGTAATATTATTCAAGTGTCACAAAATATGGTGCTAACTCAAAGTATGCAAGATTAAATAAAATCAGTACTTCTTGTTTTCTTTAAAACCAGATAATATTGTATAAATAAATTCTGGGTCGCTGTAGCTGTCTTCACTTTTCTCTTCTTGAGAATCAATTTCTTCAAAGTTGTAAGCAGACAAGGATGGTTCGTACTTGATGGGAAGCTTGTGGTGATCTTCAAAAAGTTGTTCAAAAAACTTACGCAGTTTGAGGTGTGAGTTAATGGCTTCATCTCTGCGTTTACCGTGGCCTAAGAAATAAACGTTTTCAAAATAGTAAACAAAACAGGTGACAGAAAATCATTCAGGCTATTTATTTGGCCAATAAAACTTCTAAAAAACAATTTGATATTAGATTTTTTTATTTTTAAAAAGTTACATCCCAACTATAAAATGAAGTGTAAAAGTTGATCATTTTAAAACTTTAAATATGAAGGGGCCTTTCCATACGGAAGTACGAAATAGTCCCTCTTTTCATAATTTATCATTTTGTTTCAATTTAGTCCCACACTGGATAAGCGGTAAATTTACGAATTACAACGCTAAAATCCGGGGTTTGATTCCTTGTAATGGATGAGCACAGATAGTCTATTATGTAGCTTTGCACTAAAGCAAACAAGTGTTTCAGTTTTACTATGCATGGCCAGGTGGTTGGGGCACTTAACTCGCAACCTTAGGGTCGCGGGTTCGAATCTCCGTCCCACCAAACATGCTCGCCCTTTCAGCTGTGGTGGCGTTATAACGTGACGATCAATCCCATCATTCGTTGGTAAAAGAGTTGGCGGTGGGTGGTGATGACTAGCTGCCCTCCATCTAGTCTTACACTGCTAAATTACGGATGGCTGGCGCAGATAGCCCTAGTGTAGCTTTGCGCGAAATTCAAAACAAACAAACATTTTAGACTTTTACAACAAAATAAATATAACTGTTGAACATTTCTGGTTATTATTATTATATTGTGTGGCTGGTTATTAATTTTAATGAAGAAATTATTTTCAGCCAAGGAACAACTGTTTTACATCGTCGAAAGAAAACACTTACCTCCTAGACACGAATGACCATAGCTAGTACATCCACCTAAGATATAAAACAAAAAGATACACTTAAAATTAATTGTGTACACGTTTCACAATGTCTTAGAACACAACGTCAATATGTTTAATCTATAAATAGGATATTTTTACTCTGAACTTTTCTCATCACTACATATAAAATATGTACCTGACATTTTAATTTGGCTTTTTATTAAATAAGAAGTTGCTGGAATCTAAGTTATTTTGCGATGAAATTCGAAGGATGTTTTCCACTGTATTGTATTATGAAAAATGTTTATATGGTAACGAAAAGTTAAGGTATGATTAAATATTATTTTTGAAGTTTTGATAAAAAAAATTGCTTATAGGATTTTATACAAATTATCGTATAAAATATAAATGTTTGAAGAGTATTTGTAAAATAAGATATAAATGTAAAACCATTCTGACATAAATATTTCTTATAAATTTTGTTTGTTATTAAGCAAAGGCTACGGTGTGGGTTATCTGTGCTGTGCCTATAGCGAGTATCGTAACCCGACTTTTAGTGTTATGTGTCCTATATCAGTAATAGATAAGCAGAATCTATATTATAATTTTCATTTTGATAAATGAACGAAAATATTCACTAATACTATTTTATCATATTGTTACGTCTCCGTTTGTTAATTGATTTTTCCGTAACTTCGTTCCAACGTAAACTTAACGACACAAGTCTTTACTTAATAAAACTAGTTTATTCTTCGTATATACTCTAGCGA